CAAAGCCAACACATTCCTGCCACATACATAAAATTATTTTATTTTCTCTATTTCAGTCTATTTTGTTCTGTTTGAGAGTGTTTAAAGGATTTCCTTCTTGGATATTTTTTATTCCATCTTCTTTTCCTTAGCTTTCAGCTAGTGTCCCTGCTGCTTTTTGTTGCTGTCTTTTGGCTTTTGGTGTTTGGTTCTTTTTTGAATATGGATCAATCACATCTTACTTATCACTCTCTCCAGGAAGAAGCCAAGCGTTCCTCAGGTTACAACTGTTATTTTCACTAGCCTTGTACTCCAAATGTGTTTCTGTACACGAGTGCTGTCTTCTCCTCTGGCACATGCCATTGTGGCTGTGTTGGTAGGAGGAATTCCTGCTGAGCTACGGCCTCAGCTGGTCCCCAGCTACTTCCTGAAGAAGGAATAAAGCATCAAGGCACAGATGCACACAAAGCCCATTTATCCAGGGCTGCCACCAACTCTTCGGGCATTGAGATCAACTGATGTAACAAAAAGATGTCACAGAGAACCAGAGAGTGAATTTGCCAGAGTTAAGGCTACTGGGACAGGACAAATGGGCTCTCTTAGGGAGGATTGAGAGGGAGCTGGATCATACCCAGGCACCCCTTAAAAAAGGCAGTGTTGAAGGTTGGATGTCTGCTGTGTTTTGAACTGTATGTCAACGAGGAAAAATGATACCTCCCATGGTTTTGAAAGGAATTGACATTCATTTTATGTTCTCCAGATGGTACAGAGATAAAACACTAAGTAGGTGGATGGTATGGGTCAAAAGAGAAAACCGGGACCCATCCCTTCCTGTGGGAGACTGCTGTGCATAGGCAGAGTGCCAGCATGGGGGGCAGCTTGGGTTAGCATTTGGAGAAGGAGACTTGGCAGCTCGAATCTAGGGGGTGGGCTGTGAAAAGAAAGTGATTTTCAACTTCATACTTAACTAGCTAAATCTGTGAATGAGTGGCTCAGTGTCCAGGGGACAAAGCTTTTTACTTTTTATTCTTTCAACATCTAGAACTTAAGGTCTTTCTGTGTTGATGGCTGACATCCCTGAGGATAGATAGATAGATAGATAGATAGATAGATAGATAGATAGATAGATAGATAGATAGATGATAGATAGATAGACAGACAGATGATAGACACATACATATATACATACATACATACATAGACAGACAGATTTAGATCTGTATCTGCTTATATCCCTATATCCCTTGCAAGGCAGTGTAACAGAGACAAGACATGAAAGCATGTGTGCGTTACAGACCAGCTTAGGAGGACTTCATAAGCCACTCTCCCGTGATCTGTGTCCAGCTCTATAAGCCATGGCCTCAGCAGCATTAATGCAGCTATTTCAGAGCCCTTCCAAAGGATTTGTGTAAGAGTATAGGAAGATACATGATCCAGCCTGGTATTTATACACAGATTTCACTGGCATTGTATCTGTGCATCTGACATAAAGGAGAGCTGGTTTGAGTGTGTGAAAGCGATAAAATGTGATGTGTAGAAAATGGGTTCAAGGTCCACGCTCAGCTTGTGCCTTTTGACTCAGAAAAAGCCAGACCTGGCCACTGAAGATTCATTTGCTATTTTTTCTTACTACCCATACAAACATCTGTAATTAATTAATTTTTTGCAAAGCACAGAGCAAAACTTTGACCAAAATTAACAAAGGGGGGTTTTTTTTCTACTTGTTTTATAGCTAACACTGTTAGGTAATAACAAAAAGCTGATAACTTAAAACATTTATGCATAGATTGTGAGAGAATTGTTAAACCCAGTACCAGTTGTAGAATCTCCTGTGACACAAAAAGTATGAAAGTGAAACTAGAACAGGGGCATCTGTTAGGGAAGTAATAAAGCTGCTGTTACTTGGTCACACTTACGGTGACAATGTTATGGTAAGAAATTAGTCAGAAAATTAAGTAGGAAAACTATTACATTCTAAAGCCAGACAACAAATTCTTGACATTTGTAAGTTTGTGATTGACAGTACTTGCCTGCTCTAGGGGTCCAAACTTAACACTTGCATTAGCTGCCACAAGGGTTTCTACTCCCTCACTTGCCTTCTGCTGCAAATTCTCTGATGGTGAAGAGCCTGTCCCTGCTTTTCAACACTGGCATGAAGCACAAATGCACAGTGGGGACCAGTCTAGCACAGCAGAATCAACACCAAGCAGTTGAGCAACACATGCTGATGTGTTTATTAAAGCTGATGTTAATGCTTCCCTGAGAGAAGATTATCTAAACAGGTTACCTTGATTAAAAGCATGTTTCACAAGAAGTAGGTTTATAAATTGAAAGAATCCAGAATTATGTATGACATGTCATATGCGAGCAACTTTGCTGATGTGTTATTGAACTAAATAAATTATCAGAGTTTAGCATAAGGAAAAACAAAACCCAGTTATTTACTAGATTCACTGAATGTTAGCCTGAGTACTTGAAACTACTGAAAGATTTCTCTGGAATTAATGACTATAGATGCCCTGAGGAGGCTTGTCCCTGTAAACAGCTGGGATGTAATCACCTGCAGCGCCATACATGAACATAGATACACTCTTTGCTCTCTAGGAATTCATAACAGGAGTCTTGAAAACCATTGTGGCACTTACCTGGGCTGAGTGTCCAGCTTTCCTGTATGCAGAGACAAGTGTAGGGGACCACATGTCGTAGGGATCAACTTCCATTTCCATTTGAGTCACTCATGAGAAACACTGAGAAGTTACAACATTGCAAACAGAGGCAAAGAAGGAGAAGGCAGCTTTCATTTTTATGTAAACCAGGCAGCCAGGAGGGCCAGCCATGTCCTGGCTGGCACATCAGGCACAGCATCCCCAGATGGACAAGGGAGGGAGTTGTCCCACTCTGCTCTGCTCCAGGGCAACCTCACCTTGAGTTCTGGGGCCAGTTTTCAGCACAACAACACGAAAAACCCATTATGGTATCAGAGAGTGTCAAACAAGGGCCAGGAGGATAGAGAAGGGTCTGGAGGGGAAGTCTTATGAGGAGGTCACTTGGTTTGTTCAGAAAGAGGAGACTGAGGGGAGACCTCACTGTGGTCTCCACCATCCTCACAAGGGGAAGAGAGGAACAGACACTGATCTCTTCACTCTCGTGACCAGTGATGGGATTCAAGGAAATTACACAAAGCTGAGTCAGGGGAGGTTTAGGTTGGATACCAGGCAGAAGCTTTTCACCCAGAGGGGACTGGACACTGGAACAAGCTCCTCAGGGAAATGGTCACTGAGCCCATCTGAGTTCAAGAAGTTTTTGGACAGTCACACTCTCAGGCGCATGGTGTGACTCTTGGGGTGTCCTGTGCAGGACCAGGGCTGGACTCGATGATCCTGATGGGTCTCTTCCAAGTCAGCATTTTCTATGATTCTGTGATTGTTCACAGGCTCAGATCAAGCTTTTAGTCAAACACAAGGAAGCCAATTATCTCTTTTCCCTCAGCAAGAACTGCCAGAGCAGGCTAAACTGGTGTAAATTGTCATATGTGCTGTTGTGCTGAACTTGACTAAGAGGTTTGGGGAAGTGTCTTGTTTAAGGGGGTCATTCTAAAAGGCTATGACATTCATGGCTATGACATTGTAATGGTCTTTGCAATTGATTTCTTAGTAAAGATGCATAGAAAGAGTACTGACTTTGCAGATCAGGAGGAAGGGCTGATTGTCTATGTAGACGGTGTCTGATGTGCAAAATAGTCTCAGAAATTTTTGGGAGAGGGCACACAAGAGCTCTCTGACACCAATGCCCTCTCTGCAGGACAGTCCTAACTGAGCACACACTTGCTCATCACTATTTCAGGACAGGATTTTAAAGTTCTGAATACTGGGAGCAAGAGAATCCCTAAATTTGCCACCATGGAATGTCTTCTGAGTGAAGGTTATCCCCAGTTTAAGGCATCTGGGCCAGCCTCAGGTTTCAGCCCTTCTCTAGTGGCCTGTGTGTGTTGCTGAGTGTCGTAAGGACCGTGATTTAAAACTCAGTTGAGATGAAACCTAGCAGCCAAAAGCAACAGTAACAGTTCAGAGCTTCTATTAAACATTTTGAACACTTGTTGAAGACTAATCGATTGAACAAGCCTGTTTCATGGATATCCCTGCAGTGGCCTGCAGTGGCCACAAAGAGGCTCTTGTCTCCCTTGGGGAGTGGGATGTGCCAAGTCCCTTCTCTGTCTCTTCCAAGAAATTCTATAGGCAAATTGAAATTCTTCAATTGTCATATATTTTCTTATAATCACAAGACTCGATCCAGAATTATGTGCAGATATTTTGACCATGATAACCATCCCCCTCCCACCCCCCCAAAATAAAAGGTTTAACACCAATACATAATGTGGAATATAAAGACTTGCTGTGGCTGGCTGTCTTGGCTTTTATGCAGTGAACCATGATTGCAAATATATTTACCTTAGCACATATAGAATTTATTTTTCCCACAGCAAAATCAATGTTACTTCCACTTAAAAAGTCAGAGATCAGGCATCAAAAACAAAACAAAACAAAACAACAACAAAAGAAAATAAAAAACCAAAAACAAAACAAAACCCCAAACCAACCAACCAAACAAAAACAAACACAAATGCCACAAAAAAAAAAAAAAGCCCCCCCAAAAAATGGCAATGGAAGACTGTATCCTATTTCAGTACTCTAGATGTTTTAAAAGCAAACTGTCACTTCGTTAGAATTCAAGAAACAAGTTGTGCAATAAAACGTTAGGGACACTGTAATACACTCATTGCGTGGCATCACACAGGAGCCCGCAGAAAAAGGGAAATGTCGTCTGTGATAACAGCGGAATTGAGCAACTGCACCCGTTACACACAGAGTTATCACTGGAGAAGTGACACTTTCAGGGTCTGCCCGAGCAGCCCAACGCTTTGCTAATGCCAAAACAAGTCTGAAACACTCAGATAAGTAGAAGTGATGAGAAGTGATAAGAGACCTTTTCAGAGGACAGAGAGAACACAACTGGAAATGTACCTCTAGCATGTATGAAAGTTCCTGTAGTGCTGAGTAGATGTGCCGAGGAAAATGCAGTTCAATAGGTGGGGAAGAAAAGGCACTGAAGAGATGCTTCAGCAGCAGGTTCACTGTAGTTAAAACCTGTATCTGCATCCTGTAACTTTACTTGGAGATTCTGTTGACGGGGGCTGTGGAGAATCCCTCAGCTTTTAATTATTTTTTTTTTATTTCCTCCCGGCTACTGCCCCTTGTAACTCATCTCCCTTATTTCCAGCTCGCTTCAGCAACCGCACGCTGTTGCTGCCCGCGGCACGCAGGAACCCCCAGCACACAGGTGGGATCCCGTGCCCGCGGT